TTGACCTTGGGTTTTGGAAAGGCGCTATATAAATAAAAATTATTATTATTATTGTTATTAATTGCATCATATTTATATTTTTTATATTAGTTATATTTGATTTAATACTATTTAATATTTACTTACAATTGACCTTGACCTTGGGTTTTGGAAAGGCGCTATATAAATAAAAAATATTATTATTATTATTAATTGCATTTAATTGCTCTTTCGTAGCTCAGGAAACTTAATCTATATTTATTGATATTTGTTATTATTTAATACTATTTAATATTTACTTATAATTGACCTTGGGTTTTGGAAAGGCGCTAATAAATAAAAAAATATTATTATTATTATTAATTGCATTTAATTGCTCTTTCGTAGCTCAGGAAACTTAATCTATATTTATTTATATTTGTTATTATTTAATACTATTTAATATTTACTTATAATTGGCCTTGGCTTTTGGAAAGGCGCTATATACATAAAAAATATTGTTATTAATTGCATCATATTTATATTTTTTATATTAGTTATATTTGATTTAATTCGTGAATCTCAGTTGTTTCTCTATAAATGATCAAATAAATAGATACAAACAAATGAGACAATTATATAATATAAAAGTATAGAGGTATATAAATATGAAAGGAAAAGATTATTTGATGAGAAGTATTTTATGTTTATTTATTTATTTCTTGAAATAAATTTGAGTCTCTTCTAAATCTCTAGAGGAGACAAATTATTTTTCTTATGAGTCTCTTTCTGCTTTCTAGGAAAAAACTGGATATTATTAAGAGATCCGAATAAAAAGTAATGCTAGCTTATTTGAAGTAGCTAAAGCTAGTGAATGTTTTGATGATAGTTAAAGAAAAAGCTTCAGGCTAAAGCTCTTTTGAAGCAAGGCATTTCAATCTTGAAAAGAAAAAACCTTTCTGCATTTACAGCTGCTTTCATGAATAAACATAGAAACACGGTTTTATTTGACTTGAAGTGCATGAACCTGCTGCAAACTATTGTTAGCAATGCTAGCCATTACTGTGGAGAATCAAGGTACGATCAGCCGATAGCATGAAAGTGCTCATACGTTCAGAAATAATGTTACAACAACATTTCAAGTGCTACCGCAAAACTGGACAACCAGAATGTACTCTCTGAAAACACCACAAAATGACGCATTGTAAATGATAGATAATCAGGGGAGCGTTTAACAGCGTTAAAATGCCCATATTTCCTAGTCCTAAACTAGTCACCCAGAAGCATCATTCTCATGTTTTTGGAATGCAAATAATTCAGCAAATAAATAAATAAATAAAAATGAGTAAGAAAATAATATGAAACAATGTACTATACGTAAACATTAAAGGAATAGTTCACCCAGAAATTTGCTGAAAATTTCCTCACCCACAGGCCATTCAAGATTTAGAGGAGTTTGTTTCTTCATCAGAACAGATTGGACGAATTCAACATTGCATCAGTGGATCCTTTGCAGTGAATGGGTGCCGTCAGAATGAGAGTCATAAAAACATCCACAAGTAATCCAAACCATTCCAGTTCATCAATCAACAGCAAAAAAGAGTGTTTGTAAGGAACAAATCTATCGTATTATAATAAATCTATTCATATTTGCTATAATTTATAATATTGCATTCTCCAGTGAAAAAGTGGTCTCATCTGAATCAGGAGAAAAATATGCACAGACCAAGCAAGAAAAAACTGTTCTAAATAAATTGATTTTGATGTGAGAGGACAACAAGGGGTGGACATTTCACTGAAAGAAGCGTTATTATGAATAAAACACTCATATTTTGTTTGGTACCAATGGTTCGAAGTTGGATTTGTTTCATTCAAATACATTTTTTCACTTCGCAAGATGTTAACTGATGGGCTGGAATGGTGTGGATTACTTGTGGATTATTGTGATGTTTTTCTCAGCTGTTCTGACGGCACCCATTCACTGCATTGGTGAGCAAGTGCTAATGCAAGTTCTAAATTTCTTGTTTCGATGAAGAAACAAACTCATCGACATCTTGGATGGCCTGAGGGTGAGTACATTTTCAGC